CTTTGAACCAGGAGCAGAAGGTGTAGGCTGTTGTTCTATCATATATGTAGCATGCTCACATATTTGCTGAAGGTATACTGAAAGTCACAGTGTCACTCAGTCGCCAGAAAGTCCAGTGTCAGTTGGAAGAGCAGCATGGATGGCAGGAGGGAAATGATCAGGGACTGTCATGAAGCCTGTACCAGTTGCTGCCTCTGGTTAAACGTCTGCTAGCTAGGAGGGCCCAGAGCCGTAGTAGTAGAGCTAGTAGGTAGGGCCTTGACACAGCTGACCCGGGTTTGATTCCCGGGACCACCTGGAGTGAGTCCTGAGCACCACCGCCTGTGACCCCCAAACAGACATCTGTCAGCTAGGGAGGAAAAAACACCTGCAGCTGTGCTGTTTGCTGTTTGAAAACACAAAATTTGTTTTGGGAAAAACACTTTTATTGCAAAAAATTCCTTGATTTTTCTTCCAAATTCTGAAGGCAGCTCCAGCCCTTGAAGCCATCGCCCTGGGAGCCCGGGCCAAGTAGGCATTTACTCTCTGGACATGTTCTTGTTGGGCTGACTGTCCTGTTGGGGGCTAGTTGAAAGGACCCAAGGTCTCAGCTCAGTCTCATCCTTACCTGAGCATGGATGACAGCAGAGAATGGGGTGAGGGGAGGGGCCGCAGTGATAGGGCAGCGGGGAAGAGGCCGGCCTGGGTGCCATCCTTGGCATACCCGTGGTCCCGTGAACCCCCCACCCCCACCAAAAACAAATATGCAGTGAGTGAATAAATGATACCTGGGTGTGGAAAAATGGAAAAGGTACCTCATCTAGCTGGGCTTTATTTATCCCATTTAAAAGAAAAGTTTCAACTCAGTTTATTTGCTCCCTAGATTGAAAGTGAAGGCAGTGGATTCAGGCGCTATCATTTTAGGTGATCAACTCCGTGGTGCGCAGCAGTGCAGACGTAACATCCGATGGTATTTCTTGGCTTCAAGGTGATCTGGCACATAGGTGATCCAGATGATAAGAGCAATAGTTTCAACAGAAGCAACAAAATTTCAGAAGATAGTCAAGACAAAATGCCAGTCCCTGGTGAATGACAGTGGAAACAGTACTGCACAGGGGGAGAGGCCTCTTTCCTTCCTCAGGGTTGTATTTAGTGAGTGACTTCCAGTCCATTAGCAACATCTCAGGCACATCTCCCCCTGGCCGCTCTCCGTGTCCTGTGTGCTGCAGGCCGGGCTTGAGCCATGGTCCCGCGCCTGAAGAGCACAGTTCTGCTCTTCTTTTTTCTTTTTTTCTTTTTTTTGTTGGGGAGGGCGCCCCAAGCTGTGCTCAGGGCTTCCTTCCTCCTGGCTCTGAGCACAGATGCCAGTCCTGGCAGGGAGCTGGGGATCCAACCCAGATGGGCCCCTTGCAAGGCAAGCACCCTGCCCATGGTAATGTCACTCCAGCCCCTAAAATAAAATTCCTTCGATCACAGCTTCCGAATACTTGGATTGTCCACACAGTCAGATACACACGTGGTGCTCTTCTTGTCAGTCAGGTTTTTGGTGTGTGACTGATGTGAGTGACCCAGGTGGCTCCAGCTTGTACTCCACTCTGTTTCCGAGCATGCTGCTCGAGTGGCAAGTACTGCTCTATTTTCATGGCTTTAAAAGTGTTCCCTGAACTTAAAACTTGGTAGTAAGGGGCCGGAGAGATATAATGGGTAGGGCTTTTCTCACAGTTGCACGTGCCTGACCCGATTCGGTCCCTGGCACCCTAGATGGGCCCCTGAACCCTGCCAGGAGTGGCTCCTGAGTGCAGAACCAGGAGTCAGCCTCAAGCACTGCAGGTGTGGCACAAAGATGTAGTTCAGTGCTTGATCTTTCCTGGAATTGTAAATTCTTCCCTCAGCTCCTCACTATGTAAAATATGATGGGAAGATTTACATATCTAGGCTAATAATTTGATATGTGTATGTATAGTTAAGGTTACTTAACATGCCTATCTCACATATTACAAATTTTTAATGGTCCATTTCAAGTACACAGTGTAGTAATGTTAATTGTCGTTACCATAGAGAGAGTTACCATTGGAGCACCCCCCCATTTCTTCATCTTACAATTGGACATTAGTGTCCTGTGGCGAGTCATCCCTATCCCCCCAACCGCTGACAACCAACTGTCGGCTTACTGTGTTTCTGGTTGTTGTTGTTTTTTTTTTTTTCTTCAGATTCTGTGTGTAAGTGAGAGCCTAGAAAGCTTGTTCCTCCCTAGCATAACGCCCTCAGTGTCTTTCCATTTTGTCACAGGTATGTTTTGGTGTCAGGGATCACACCCAAGGCGCCAGATGTGCAGAGTGCATGCTCTGCCAGTGAACTGCATCCCAGCTGGGAGATCCTCGGTTTTCAGTACGAAATCATATTCCAGTTGTACACAGGCTGTAACTGTCAGTGGACGTGCAGGCTGTTTCCATTTCTTGGCAGTTAGAAATAATGCTGCGGTGACCTTGGGAGGCAGGTGTCTCTCCCATCTCATTCCTTTTGAATATCCAGCTGGAAGTGGGTTTCTGGTGGTTCCTTTATTTTAAATTTCTGAGGGATTCCCATTCTGAATTTCCAAAGTGGCTGTACCAGTTTGTATTCTCACCTGCTTTTCCACACCGTCGTCCACACTCACCTCTTGTGTTTTTGATGAGAGCAGTGAGGTGGTGTCTCACAAGTGTAGTTTGAGTAGCATTTCCCCGTGACTAGTAACACTGAGTACTTCTTTTCTGTACCTGTTGGCCATTTGTATTCTAGATTTTTTAAAATTTATTTTGCTTTTTGGGTCACGCCCGGCGATGTCCAGGGGTTCCTCCTGGCTTTGCACTCAGGAATTACTCCTGGCGGTGCTCGGGGGACCATCTGGGATGCTGAGACTCGAACCGGGTTGGGTGCGTGCAGTGCAACGCCCTGTCTGCTGTGCTATAGCTCCAACCCCAATTTGTATTCCAGATTTTGAAAATACCTACTCAGGTTCTTTGCCCATTTGTGTGCTGATGGTGCTCAGGGCATACCCATGACTCTCTGCTCAGGGATCACTCCCAGCAGGGTTGTACAGGTGTAGTGATGGCCTTGCCTTTTTATCTTGTTGATGGTTTACTTTGCTATGCAGAAACTTTAATTTGATATTGTTCCAGTGTTTGATTTGTTGCCTCAGCTTTGCGCCAAATCCAAAAACCTCATTTGTTAGGATTGATGTCTAGGAACTTCTCTTTCTTGTTTTCTCCTAGGAGTTTTATGGTTTCAAGGCTTGCATTATACGCCCAGACCCGTTTTGAGTCGATTTTTGTGAATGGTATGAAGATAATGGCCCAGTTCGTTCTTTATGTGTGCTGTCTAGTTTTCTCTGTCATTTACTAAGGAGAACTGGAATTTTGCCTTGGGACACACCTGATGACCCATTGCTCCAGTGCTCAGGAATTGCTCCTGGTGTGCTTCGGAAACTTCGCGGGGCTGTGGGCCGAACATCCGCTTGCTGAGCACATTTGCCAGCCCTCACGGAACATACTTCTCTCTTTTTATGTTCTTGACGCTTTCGCTGTGAATCAGTTGAATTTTTGTCTAGACTCTTCCTTCTTTTCCAATGAATTTTTCATGAGTTTCTGTCTGGCCTCTTCATTCTTTTTCATTGATGTGTATGTCTTTTTTCTGCCAATAGCATTAAGTGTTGCTCAGCATGACTTGGTGACTGAGTTTTTGAAGTTTGGAAATGTGATGTTTCTAGCATCTCCTCAAGATCTCTTTGTTAGCCTGACATCTTTTGTGCTGTCATACAAACGTTAATTTAAAAAAAAAATTAAAACCATTGAGATTTTGATAGGGGCTATGTGGATTCTTTCTATGGAGTAGGTATTTTAGCAGTGTGAAATCTAGCCCAGAAGTACAAGATTCCTTTTCATTTATTTGCAACTTCATTGTCTTTAGTATTTTCAAGTTTCCGATGTACCCTTCCCCAAATGTGGCTCGCTCGTGGCCAGTTTCCCCTTTGTTGCTGGCATGCCATGTATCAGGGGTACATTCAGAGCAGTGATTGGTTGTCATGTTGCTGAAAATCACCTCTCTGACGCTTGCCTTCTTTGGCAGAGAAAAATCAGAATTTTATTTTATTTTGGGTTTCCAGCAATACAGGCCCTGCCTTTGAGACCCAGACAGTTCAGTTCTCGGGTCCGTGATCTGGTACCATTTGGGCGTGGTGATGCTGAAGGGGGGACCACGGCACACGGGCATCGGCCTGTGGGCTCCTCCTGTGTCGGGCGTGCCTTCAGTCAGGTCGCCGCAGTCAGGGCAGTGTGAGGAGAGTCCGCAGTCTCGTGCCTCATTCCTTGGCATTTGTGGGCCTGTCCCTTGCCCTTGTTGTGGCCTTTCCCCCTTTGTCTTTTGGGTCACACCCAACAGTACTTAGGGTTACTCTTGGCTCTGCACTCAGGATCACACCTGGCAGGCTCAGGGGGCCATATGGGATGCAGAGGATCGAACCTGGGTGCAAAGCAAGCGCCCTACTTGCTGTGCTGACTTCCGCTCCCTGTGAATTTGGCTTGGGAGCCCCGTTTCAGAGAAAGAATCGTTCTCCGTGTCAATCCAGCCATTAGGGGTGCCCACAGAAAGTGGTGCTCAAAGATACTCTGTGGCTTCCTGGATGCCGGGCGTGCCCTCCAGCCCTTGGATCTGTTGCTCCAGCCCTGAAATCAAACTCTTGCGTCAGGAAGACTCGGAGTGTTGAGGACTCTGGCTGGGGGTGGCTCACCTGCATGCGTAGGTGTCCTGTCGTCCAGCTGTGACCTCGTGCTCTCGGTTTCCGTGAGGGAGTGGGGACTCAACATCTGGGGAAATATCCTGGTGACCTGGGTCCCTCATCCGACACCAGTCACCGTTCTGTGACGATCCTCACTCTTGAGAAGCAGAGGGCAAGAGTTTGACCGTAATGTCAGACTTTGTGTAATCATGAAATAGATCTAGACTCATTTTCAAGTGTCTTCATGAGAGCCTCTGTTTCCCTGCAGTGTTTCCTGAGGTTACAGGCGGGTGTTTGAGGAGTACATGCGGGTCATCAGCCAGCGGTACCCAGACATCCGCATTGAAGGAGAGAATTACCTCCCTCAGCCAATATATCGGTAAGGAGATTCACTTCATTCGAATATAAAAAATGTTTCATTTAAAAGGAGGTTGTGGGGTTTTCCCCCTCTAGAAATGGTAACACTTTTAAGATTTATTTTCTGTATAGATTTGGTTGTGGAAGTAGATCAGGAAGATCCACATTTCATAGAAAGTCAGGGGTTAAAATAATTCCTTTCTGGGGCTGGAGCAATAGCACAGCGGGTAGAGCGTTTGCCTTGCACGCGGCAGAGCCGGGTTCGATTCCCAGCATCCCATAGGGTCCCCTGAATACTGCCAGAAGTAATTCCTGAGTGAAGAGCCTGGAGTAACCCCTGTCGACCACACCTGGCGGTGCTCAGGGGTGACTCCTGACTTTTCTGCTTCTTCGCTCAGGAATTATTCCTGGCAGTGCCCAGGGAACCAGATGAGGTTCTCTGGATTGAGCCCTGGGTTGTTCGCTGCGTGCACGGCAAGCACCCTACCCACTGTATTCTCTCTCCAGCCCCACAGTACTTTTTTTTTCTTTTTTTTTCTTTTGGGTCACACCCAGCGATGCTCAGAGGTTATTCCTGGCTCTGCCCTCAGGTATCACTCCTGGTGGTGCTTGGGGGACCATGTGGGATGCTGGGAATCGAACCCAGGTTGGCCACGTGCAAGGCAAATGCCCTACCCGCTGTACTCTCACTCCGGCCCCAGTACGTTTTTAATTGATTTTGGAGGTGGGGGTTTGGGCCACACCCGACTGTGCTCAGCTTACTCCGGGCTCTGGAATCACTGGCAGTGGTGCTCGGGGACCGCCTGCAGTGCCGGGGGCCAAGCCTGGAGCATTGTGGCCACTGTCCTGTCTCTGGAGCCTGGACGCACCAGGCCCCCTGTGCTGTTGCTCCAACATCCATCCCAAAGATGTTGACGTTTTGTTTTCAAGCTGCTGATGGAACTTTGGTTCACTTTCTTCACAGTTAGAATTGGTAATTTTTAGAGTTGGTACTCGAAAATGCCTATATAATTCATGGTGAAATTTTGAAGTGAATGAAAAATTCTGACTTACGTTGAATTTCTCTTTTCTTTTCACAGACATATAGCATCTTTCCTGTCAGTCTTCAAATTAGTAATAATAGGCTTAATAATTGTTGGCAAAGATCCTTTTGCTTTCTTTGGCATGCAAGCTCCTAGCATCTGGCAGTGGGGCCAAGAAAATAAGGTACGTAACTTAACCTGAGAAGATCTGTTGGTTTAGGTTGTCTTGTTCATTTTGGTGTTTTGTTTGTTTGTTTGTTTTGTTTTTTGCTTTGGGGTAACCCGACGATGCTCAGGGATCCTCCTGACTCTAAGTTCAGGGATCATCACTCCTGGCATGTTTGGGGGGACCATATGGGATGCCAAAGATTCAAGTGGGTTGGCCACGTGCAGAGAAATTATAGGTATGCTATAGCTATAATCTCTCTCCATCCCCTGTCAAAAATAACGTAATGGATTTTTTTTCCCCTTTTACTTAAAGGTACTTAATTTTTTTTTAATTGTGATAGCTATTTGATCTAAAGAGAGAAAATGTTGATATGTTTTAGAGGGGCGGTGTTACCACAGTATTCTGTAGGAATTCAGCAGGGTCCCTTGGGCCTCTTCAGCCTCACCGCCACTATTGGTAGCCTTGACACTGTCATCATCATAAGAGTTTTTCCAGGGATGTTGGCTGTTCTCTTGGGTTATTTTTTCCTCCTCTTGTTCCAAACCTGGCAGTGCTCAGGGTTGCTGCTCATGGTGCCAGGGGATCAGACAGGGCTGGGGTCCAGACCCGGGTTTCCTGCGTCTCTCTTCCTCCCCCCCCCCCCCCCCCCCACTTTTTGGGTCACACCCAGCCGATGCCAGGGGTTACTCCTGGCCCTGCACTCAGGAATCACTCCTGGTGGTGCTTGGGGGACCATATAGGATGCTGGGAATCAAGCCCGGGTCTGCCACATGCAAGGCAAACGCCCTACCTGTGCTGTTGCTCCAGCCCCTCCTGCATCTCTTCATGTTGTTTCTTCCCATCCTTTCCTCAATTTGTAAACAAAGTACTTTTTGCTAATTCACCTGCTTATGTGTATTAGTTTAGCATACGTTACTGTATCCCTGAGCAAAGCGCTTTCATTGTTTCTATATTTACACCTAAGAATGTGTAGGTGATTCCTATTTTAATTTAAACAATAGAGTTAATCACTTTAATAAACCTGGCCACAAAATGTATTACTTGGTTTTGATCGTTGATCTCAGTTTATAGCTTATCCAGTGAAATAAGTATGGCCTTTTTGTATCAATTGATAGGAACAGTGATGGGTTTGCTCACATTGGGAACAAAATTTTCACTGATTGTGCTTCTTTCCATTGTTGGAACCACACCTGGAGCGGCTGAGGGCGGGCACGCGGCCTGGGGTGTGAGCCTGGTGCGCCAAGCCTGCCCGCTCTCCTGAGCCAGCCTCAAGCCCTTCACACTCACCAGAGTCTCTCTTTAAATTTTTTTCCCTTTTTTAACCCTTCATGGGAAATCTGTTTGGCAAGTCCTCAAAACGTAAATGTAAACATGCTTTCCAATCTTCTGCCGTTGTTTTTTTTCTTTGCAGGATCTTGCTGTAGCATATTCTATCTAGGTCTCTCATCTGTTTTGCTGAATATCATCTTTTAAATGCTGTGAGGAGTGGAACTATTATGTCTCTCTTGAATAATATTGCTTGGGTATTCATCTAAGGAGATCTTGTCATTTAGGTCTATTCTGGGATTCCCTTTAGCTGAGTTGTACCTAGCTTTACTTTCAGGCAAGGTTTTTAATTTATTTTTTTGACACTCCCCAGTGTTGCTCCGGAATCACTCCTGGCAGTGCTCGGGGGACCGTGTGAGGGACAGCAAGCCTGGCCAGGCCTCCAGGCAGGCTCTTCACAAATGACTGCCAGGGTCTGATTGTAGCGGTCTTCCATCCTGTTATTAACAAAATATTAATTTGTGCTGGACCAAGAATTAGTACTTATTGTCTTGTATATATGTGAATTCTATTGATTCCAGATTGTATTGAGCACATTTTAGTTGTGTAGACAGAGCATTGTTGATTTACCTTGGAGGAGGAATGTGCTCGAAAGCTGTCCCCCTTTATAATGTTCCTTATCATGTTCCCCTCAAAGTAGACAACGTTGCCAGGGTGATGGGACAGACTCTCATCTCTTCTCCCTCTGACACTAGGCATTGGTATCTTCACGGTACCCTGCTTTTACCAGGTGATTTTGTTGAAACCTGTTTTTTCCTTTTGGGTTTTTTTATTTGTTCAGGTGATTTTTTTTTTTTTTTGAGGGAGGTTACTCCGAGCTCTGCACTCAGGAATTACTCTGGAAGTGTGTGGGGGGGGGGGCAGTGTCCTGGATGCTGGGGATCGAACCCTGGACAGCCACATGCAAGGCGGGCCTCTCCCCCCACCCCCACCAAATACCGGCTCTCTGCCTCTGTTCAGACCTGTTAGTAAGTAAGGTGTTTCTAGTTTCATGGGGACTTTTGGGTGAGCTTTTAAAAGGGGGATGAATGTCATATACTGGCGCCTTCTAAATTACTTTTTCCCTGGTTTGACTCCAGATGATTTATTTAGGACAGGACAGGCTATGGTAACTACATGGTGTTGCTGACTGTTACATCACTAGTCTCTTGTGAATTCGTATTTTAGATCATGAAAATGGCAGAATGAACCCTTCTATGCTGATATTCTTCTGTACAGATGACTAGAGCGATGTGGTCTCTAGAACATTACCTTATCACTGAGAATTCATGTTGAGGTTTTCATGTTCTGTCTGGGTTCTGTTTTGGGAGAGGGTGGGCTTGGGCTTGACTCTGTGCTGGGGGTCATGCCTGGTGTGACCTCCTGCCAGGCAAGCACCTTAACCCCCCACTGTCTCTGGCTCCTGGGTCTTTCTTGGTTTTGGGGTAGGGGGGGCAACACCAGATTGTTTGCATCCTGAACAAATGGGATAGTAGTGATTCAGATAGAAATTTCTAGTAGGTTAAAAAACCAACAATTAGCAAATAAAAATGAGGCTATATATCATTACTGTGTATATATTTAAAAGATTGCTGTTTTGAATTAGTTTGACTACAAATGACTACACGTTGTGCTTCGTTCTGTTCTCTTTTAGGTCTATGCATGTATGATGGTTTTCTTCTTGAGCAACATGATTGAGAACCAGTGTATGTCTACTGGCGCATTTGAGATCACTTTAAATGGTGGGTTCTGCAAAGTTTATACTCTGATCAATCTTAAATCCTGTGTAATGGGTCTCAGGGTTTTCCTGTATCATGCTAAATTCTCTCTCTCTCGTTCTCTGTCTCTGTCTCTGTCTTTGGTGTTTGGTTTGGGGGCCATGCCCAATGATGCTCAGGGGATACTCCTGACTCTGCACTTAGGGATAACGCTTGGGCGACTGTTTGGGGTACCAGGGATTGAACCTGGTTGGATGTGTGCAAGGCAAACTCTTCCCCACTGTACCATTCCTCCACCCCGTAAATTATCTCCCTTTTATGGTCTTTGTTTATTCTTTGAAATAACATCTGTGTGGTGACTCGTGGGTCTGTAGGTCTAGAGCGCTCTTGACCTCTCCTCCATGGGCTTTCCTCGGGAGTCTCTCCTTTATAGCATTTACATTGGTAGTCTTTACATTTACTTCCCCCAGGAGGCTGGAGAGATGGCACAGCGGGCCTGGGGGTACAGGGGTGGGGGGAGGTGGCACTTGCCTTGCGTGCACCTGACCGTTTCTGTCCCCTGAACATAGTTGAGTTTGGCCCCAAAACAAACATTTCTTTCTCCTAACCTGTTGATTTCCTTTGCTTCCTGAGATTCTTGCACACTTGTTCTTCCTTGTCACTTACCGTTTAATGGCATCATCATTGTCCTATCATTTGTTTGTGTTGTTGTTGTTACTGTTGGGCTTGTTATTTTTCCCCCAATTTGTTTATTTTGTGGGGAAGGACCTTACCCCGCAATACCCAGGGCTTATTCCTGACTCTGTGCTCAAGGATCACTCCTGACAAGGCTCGGGGACTGCGTGTCTCTGGGGGACTGAACCCCGGTCAGGTGCGTGCACAGCCAGACTTGACTGCTCTATTAGCTTTCTGCCCCCCAACATTCTCCTGTTTTGTCTCCCTGGTTCTCAGAGTCCGGTGGGTTACCAAGTCTTAATTTCTACCATCTGCCGTTTTCCTGAAGTCTACTTCTGTTTACTTTCACCGCTTTCAACCTAACTCCTGCCACAGTTACCCTCTAATACATTCTCTAACCTGGAAGTTGGCAGATATGACCTAGCAACGGAAGTGCTTTTTTTCACTTTCTAATGATTAAAAACTCAGAAGACTATTCTGTGACATATGGGAATTAAGTAAAGTTTAAATTTCAGTATTCATGTCTTAAGGTTTAAGATTGAAAAATTCATGGAACTTGAGCTCTAATATATAAGTACCTGGATTACGTGTTTTTGCTTTTTATAGTTCAGAAATCTTGAAATACTTTCTAGCCTATTACAGAAAAAGATTTTTTTAAATCCATTCTAACAATGTTTTGTGTTTTTTATTTATTTACTTATTTATTTTTTGCTTTTTTGGGTCACACCTGGCAATACCAGGGGCTACGCCTGGCTCTGCACTCAGGAGTTACTCCTGGCGCTGCTCAGGAGACCATATGGGATGCTGGGAATCGAACCCAGGTCGGCCGCTTGCAAGGCAAACGCCCTCCCCGCTGTGCTATCTCTCCAGCCCCAGTTTTGTGTTTTTCAAACATGCGCGATCTTTTTGCTTCATTGCCTTGGATTCACTCAGAGGCTTTGTTCCAAAGATATGATCAGAACATTTGCATCATCTAAAGGCCCAGTGCCACAGCCCCTGGCCCTGCGACCTGTGCCACGGGGCATTCTCGCTGCTGACTGTCTGTGGGTGGTTTGGTTGGCTCATAACTTGGCCCATTTATGTGCTTATCCTCTCACCTGGTGCCACTTTCAAACTCCAGCCAGAGTTGCGTGTGCGTTTCTCCAGCTCCAACAAGAATCCCTTCTCTCTGGCTCGTTCCAGTATGTTGATTCCTCTCCATCCCTGCCTCCTTGCTGGCTCCGGCATGGACACCCAGAACTGAGTCCGTCTCTTGGTCATTGCATTAGTGCAATCATGAATAATTCTTATTCATGACTGCACTTAGGTCCTTTTGAGTGAATGCTCTTGTGTCCTGGCCGTAGATGTCCCCAAGTGGAATTGGGTCAGCTGGCCGTTCGGTTCTCACTTGACTAAGGACTCTCCATGCTGTTTTCCACAGGGCTTGAACCAGACCACATTCCCACCAGCAGTGGGCAAGAGTTCCTTTCTCCCCACACCCCCAGCAAAGCAGATTGTTCCTGTTATGTTTGATACGTGCCATATTCCCTGGCGTGAGACGGCATCTCGTTGTCTTGGTTTGGATTTCACCAATGATAGGCGATACTGGCCGTTTTTTCATGTGCCTACTGGCCATCTATTGAAGTGTCTGTTCACTTTCTCTCCTCATTTTATTGATAGGATTTTGAAATTTTATGTGTTGATTTTTGTCTCACAGCTTCTTTTTGCTTTAATCCTTACAAACAGTTATAACGTAGCTGTTTTTCCGATTCTTTATCCTACCAGAATAGAGATTACTTAAGAGCAAGAAACTGAATTATTTGACTCACTCTTTCCTCCTAAGCTGTGTACACAGGCAATACTAATAGGATGATTTTATTTTTATAGATGTACCTGTTTGGTCTAAGCTGGAATCTGGTCACCTTCCATCCATGCAACAGCTCGTTCAAATTCTTGACAATGAAATGAAGCTTAATGTGCATATGGATTCAATCCCGCATCATCGATCATAGCCCCACCTATCAGCACTGGAAACTCTTTTGTGAGTAGTTTAAACGTCTGTGTTTAGGTATCAGCTAATCATCGCCAATTAGCAATATCTAGTATTATATGTATCATTTTCATTTAAGATTCAACAGATGGGTGTTTTCCTCCTTAAAATTTATAAATGATTCAGTTTGGGGCAAAGTTTGGTTGTGCTAATAGTTGTATCTTAGAGGTTTAATAGTTGGACCTGGACTTTCTGGACTTTGTGCCTCGTTAGTTGATTTGCCTAGTTGACTTTGTGCCTAGGATTCTCATGTGCCGTGATACTTACATGCGTGCCCTATCCTTAGTTTTATAACTTGTTCCTAAGAGTACAAATCCTTGTAATAGGCTTAACATAAACATTTAGGGTCGAAGGGCTAATACAGGGGTCAGGGGCTTGCTTTGCTCATGTTTGACCCCCATGCATGCCCCGTGCTTCATGTTACTCTGAGCACTTCTGGGAGCAGCTTCCTAGCACTGCCGTCTGTGGCCCAAACCTCCTCACCCCTTGGAGGAACAAAAAGAAAAAGAACAATTACAAGCAAACCTGTGTGAGCACAGAGAGTTCTTAACATTTGCCTGGTAGAGATAGTTCTCTTGGATCAGGGATTATTTTACAAGTGTAAATTTTCTTTCTCTCTTTCTTTCTCTTTTTTTTTTTTTTTTTTTTTTTTTGCTTTTTGGGTCATACCTAGCGATGGCACAGGGGTTACTCCTGGCTTTGCGCTCAGGAATTACTCCTGGTGGTGCTCAGGGGACCATATGGGATGCTGGGAATCGAGCCCTGCATCCAGGGCTCGACCGCGTGCAAGGCAAACACCCTACCCACTGTGCTATCGCTCCAGCCCCACTTGTAAATTTTCACATCTAATTTTTTTTTTTCTGTTTACCTTCCAGACATTAAGGGATTTTTCAAGAGCAGCGTGGCTGACCTCATGAAGGCCTGCACTGAAGACAGCAAGCTGTTGGTGCAGACTGGATGCTTCCTGGCAGGCTCGTTGTACCTCTTGGAAAACCTCAGTGCAAGACAGTTGTTCAGTGCTGGCGCATTCTGGGATTCTGCACATTTGAGGAGTGCAATAATACTGTATAGCTTTTTTTCCTCCCTTCCCCAAATTCACTCAGTTAATAGTTTTTTTAAAATGTGACATTACTACTTGTACCTTTTCTTTCTTAGTCATATTTGACAAAGTAGGATATTTAGTTGTGATTAATTTCACTTTAAAAGATGTCTGTTTAAATCTGTTGTAATTTTATATGAATTTTCCTTTTTATAGTTTAAAATCAATCCTTTTAGGAGCATCATTGAAGTTCCCAAATACTTTATAAGAGTCTATCAGACATCTCTGATTTGGTCATGTCCAGTTTATGATCTTCAGAAATACCATATAGATTGTGAACAGTGCATTATACAAGATTATGGGGAAAATCCTGTATCCAGAGTACTCTACCCATTTGTGTGTATGTGTGTGTACGCGTGTGTGATTACCAAGAACTACTAAAAGACCAACCGCTTTTTCAGTCCTCTTGTGTATTTCGTGTCTTGCCTTGACCAATCTAATGAGTCGATTAACTGGGTCTTTATACTTAACCCAATACAAAACTAAGCAAATATAAGTTAAATAAAATGTTTGAATAAGCCCAGCGTACCTGTTAACATACATGATTGTCTGCGTAAATTTTCATTCTTACCGATAATTTCATAAGGGAAACACTTAAATGCACACAATTACCATCTTTTTGAATAATCGAAGTTCAACTCACTAGAGGAGATTCAGTTGGACTCCTTTTACGTTATCGATACTAGGTGAATAGAGACCACATGTCTAATATTTAACTTATCTAATATATATATAAGAATTTTATTATATGAGGAACAACGTTGAAGATTTTTTATGCGGTGAATTAAAGATCGCAAGAGTTCTAAAACTATAATTTTTAAAGGCTTAAATTAACAAAGATTTCAAGAGTAATTAGTAGACATCGGGCTGTAATGTCGAAACTGGTTGTAGAGCAACAGTTGTGGTCTCCTTCAGCTTCTCCGTAGGAACAGAAGGCGGTCGGTGTGAATCGGCATTTGAGGGACCTGAGATAATACAGCCGGCTAGGGAGTTTGCCTTGTACTGGGTGACCCAGATTAGATCCACGGCATCCTCTATGACCCCCTGAGCATCGCCAGGGGTGGCCCAAAAACAAAGCAAAAAATGCAGGCTTTGAGGAAAAGTGATAACTTACCAAACAGTACAGCTTTGTGCTTAATTTGTCACCGAATATTTGTTGAATGCATGTCTGGCAGTGATTGTGATTGTGACAACCTCAAGGTGGAAGGAATTTCCTCTAGCTATTTGAAGTTAATCTACTAAATTCACCGCAGAAATGTCTCTCCCATTGACCTCAGACTACAGCACTGTTAGCCTAAATTCATGTAGTTCCAAGAATCAGAAATCACTGAGTGCTTCCCATTCACATTCAAAAATAATTTATAATTTATCTTTAACTCGGTCTTAAAACCACATTAAGTTGATGTGTAATAGCCTGTACTTTGTCTTTTCTGTGAGATTCTGCCAAATATGTGTAGTGTCTTTCATTTCCAACTGGTTAACCACTTGTCACAGACTTCTAGATCTGGGCCTGTGATGTGCCCTGACCCCCGTGAGTCCCCGAAGCCCGCCTTGGCCTCCCCTGCTTGGAGGAATACACCTGTTGGGAGAAGAGCTTGAAGGCTCTGGTCAAACCCAGCCATTTTGTTGAAATCAATATTGTTCTCAATATTGTTTTCTCTTTCACCACATTTTGATCTAGGATCCAAGGGCCTCATTAAAAATGAAAAGTACGGAGAATGTATAGTCGTCTTCAGATGGGTACGGCTGTGAAGTTTACAAATGCCTGTCTAGAATCTGACAGCGGGTCCGCTAATGTTGTGTGGAATTTACCACAGTCACTATCGTGGGAGAAGTTTTTTGTTTTTTTTTAATGTCAATTGACTTTCATACTTTGAAGTCCCAGCCTGCAGGGAATAAGTGCTTTCGGAATGGAAATGCAGAACTCACTGGCTGCTGCCAGCAGGTGACCTGGCTTCATAAGCACTGTCAAAATAGAAGAGGATCCCAATATCTTATTTTGCAATGTTATGAATTCGAGAAGCCTTAAATACTTGGCATTTTATCATTGTCATAACTTAAAAATCACATTTTTAAAACAGCCTATAGGATTGTTAAATTGTTACTTATTACTAAGGCTTTAAAAAACCTTTTTTGAGAGAAACATAAGAAATTGTAAAATTTGGGGGATTTAGCATTGCAAAAATAAACTTTTATTAAGCTGATGTGGAAAGATTCCTTTGTGGAAATAAATCTGTGCTAGAGTACCTGATGTGATTGCTGTATTTAGGAAATTTCACGTTATGGAAGAGTTGTTGCTCCGTCCTAGGTTTGCTTAATAACGGCTCGTAGGTCAGCCGGCGCTCCAGGCTTCGCAGGGATCCGCCCTCTCTGCCCCTGCAGAGGTGACTCTGAGCTCCCCTGAGTGTCGCTGAGCTCGGGGCTCTGTGGGATGGTTTGTGCTAGCCCACAGCGGGAAGGAGCCGCTTACAGCTCTGTCCACATAGACCTACAACCCCCCGCTCCCGAATGCCTGAGAGTTGACATTGCCCCCCGCACTCCGGGGGGAAGTCAGATAGGGCTTTCCCTCTGGGGCAGCGGGGATAACATAATCTCAGAAGAGGGAATAAAGTTGAAGCGGCTGGGGCAGCAGCACCCGGCAGCGCTCAAGACTTAAAAGTGGCTCTGCACTCGGGGATTGCTCCTGGCAGTCGTTGGGTACCGCATGGGCTGCCGGGGATCAGATCCAGGTCGACCGTGTGCAAAGCAAGCGCCTTACTTGCTGCTGTACTGCCACTCGGCCCCAAAGCTGAGCTAAGCCTTTCGCTTAAGTTCTCCTTTTCCTAGGTTTCAGGAAAGCAAATAGTACGCAGAGCCACTTCCGGACGTTTATCTATAAGAACAGTCTAAACCAGTCTCGATCCAGGGCGGGGGTGAGATGGCAGATTGTTTTGTAGACACGGCACTGGTTTTCAGACACGATGTTTCTAAGGGTGGGATTGTGTGCCCATCTGGACCCCTGGGAGTCTCCGCTGCTCTGAGCAGAGACCCAGTAATTCCCTTTCCTGAGAGGCATCCGGATACTGCTGATGTATCCGTCTGTGGTCCACACTGAGAGCTGGAGGCCAAGGCACAGAGGCAAATAACTGCCTTAAGGAAAAGTCACTCAAGGAAGAGAAAACTACACACACTGCCTCACATCTGTAGATGAGAAGCCTAAGAGCTTGGAGAGAACGAATGAGGTAAGAGGAAGGTTGTTTCTAGGGAACACTGAGAATTAAGACAGTGAAGATAAAGACAGTGAGATAAAGACAATCTCCTCTTGAGAGATAGACAGCCAGTACATGTCTGACCTGGGTTGGGGTCTGGCACCCCATCTGGCCCCCGAGCCCTCCAGGAGTGATTTTCTGAGCTTCCTCCAAGCTTCCAAAAAACAATCTTTTATCAACGCAATAAATTGCTGCATTGAGATGCAGTGCACTTGTAAAACTTGGGATGTGTGTTGGAAAAGAAAACGGGCCATGGGGCTGGAGAGATAGCACAGCGGGTAGGGCGTTTGCCTTGCACGCGGCTGACCGGGTTCGATTCTCAGCATCCCATATGGTTCTCTGAGCACTGCCAGGAGTAACTCCTGAGTGCAGATCCAGGAGTTGCTGTGCATTGCCAGGTGTGACCCAAAAAGCAAAAAGAAAAAACGGGCCTGGGGAACCAGAGCAATGCTTCCGTGCATGGGAGGGCACAGAGCTCCCTCGACGGGGAAGGCCCGGACCGCTGAGCACTGCCAGACATAGCCCAAAGAAGTGATCGGGCCGGATTGTGTGCCTGGCTGAGAACAACAGTAAAACAATCGTTGAGTGTTACTGCTTTGGATTGCTACCTTTTCTCAGAGCAAGTAGGCAACGTTCGCATTATGCTTAGATTCTTCGACAGCCGATCTTTACTTTTACATAAGGTAAATTTAAGTTCTTCTAGTTCTGAGTAGGAAAATTGCATACTCCCATTATAGTAACTATAACAGAATTTTTAAATCACTAGGGAAACACGGTTTGACCTTTGTTAATAACTGACTCCTGCCCCCTGGGGGGAAAAATGTTTATGATTTCATGGTTACACGTTTTCAAATTGGGAGATCAGCTCCTCCTGTAATACCTGGAGTGAATGGAGCCAGGCGTTGGCATTTGTCTTGGTAAGATAAATGTCAGTGCCCGGCTTACAGTTGCTGTCAGCTGTCCCTGGGGTGCTTGAGAAGACTCGACTCCATGCAACTCTTACTAGAGAAAAATAATTATTGCTGCTTTGTTTGGTGTTGCTCTTTGGTCGCTAAGGGCAAGTCTGTTTGCCAGGGAACTGCTGATGACATTCCCTTAATTTTTTTTAACGTATTAGAAAATATCACTGCTTTTCAGTCTTTAATCTCTAGCTCAGGAATGAAACAGTATTTTATTTTTAAAGAATTCTTAGAGTATATACTGACTTAAGCAGGGTTACTTATGAAAGTTATCTTTGTCAGTAGCACAGCAGTAGGGCGTTTGCCTTGCACGCAGCCAACATGGCCGAGCCGTGTTCGATTCCTCCGCCCCTCTCGGAGAGCCCAGCAAGCTACCGAGAGTATCTCGCCCGCACGGCAGAGCCTGGCAAGCTCCCTGTGACGTACTCGATATGCCAAACACAGTAACAACAAAGTCTCATGATGGAGACGTTACTGGGCCCGCTCGAGCAAATCGATGATCAACGGGAGGGCCTTTACTTTACTCTCCAAACATTTCTATAATGTTCTAGAGGTATATGGAAATTAGGTCTAGTGAGAGATTTTTTTTTGGGGGGGGGATGGGTGGTCACAGCCAGCGATGCTCAGGGGTTACGCCTGGCTCTGCACTCAGGAATCACTCCTGGAGGTGCTCAGGGGACCGCGTGGGATGCTGGGAATCGAACCCCGGTCGGCTGCATACAAGGCAAACCGCCCTACCCGCTGTGCTATCGCTCCAGCCCCTGTGAGAGGTTTTCCGAGATCTGCTTTAGTGCTTTGAGAAGATGAAAAGAGACGAAGACTGTTGGCCTGTTTTTTTGTAGTTTGTGGCAGTATGAGAACGCCAAGCCCTCGGGTTGGTCCTGCAAAGGACGAGCGGAGGCCAGCACAGGTCAGTGACGTGACCAGGGTGTGAGCAGGCCTCGCAGCTGAGACCCCGGGTCCGTCACCCTACCCAGACAGACCAGCCCCTGTTGGTGGGGGCTTTGTCAGAAATCACTTCAGGTTCTAGAAATTTGACCTTAATTTGACCTTAATTCACGACATAATTTTTTAAGTAAACTAGCCAAAACTAAAAATTTTCAGATCAGCTAAACTGAAAAAGAAAGAACTGGGGCAGGTGTGAGACCAAAGAGGAAAAGGCTTGTGCGTGTGGGTGAACTACCCTAACATAACTCACTTTATTTTTAAGTTTCTATTTCATTTTGGGGGCCACACCCAGCTGTGTTCAGGGCTCACTTCAGGTGGTGCTCAGGGGACTCTGGGATTCTCTGGGATTGACCCGAGGTCAGCTGCAAGCAGCATGACTCAGTGTAAGCTACAGATTGACTCTCTTACCCCCCTCCCGGGAAAGAAATGACCTCAATGTGGGTGTAGGGATTGCAGTTTCCTTCAGCACTTAATCTCACTGCTTGCGTGGTAAGAATTGCCAAATGTACAGCGAGATTACCACTGACCCCCGTCGTTCCATGCATTTAAGCCAGAAAGATTGTCAGTGGTTGTGAGAAGCTCATTTTAAAAGATGGAAAAATCACCAGTTTCTGATCTAGAGTCAAGGTCTCGCAGATTTTTTTGGTTGGTTGAGTTTGGGGGCCACACCCAGTGATGCTCAAGGGTATCTCACCTCGATCTTTAGGGTGCCAGGGATTGACACTCTCAATTTCTCTGGCTCCAGTAGTCATCTTTGAACTAATTTATTTATAAAATTAAGTTTTTTATAAAAAGTATAGCCAAGTTTAACAATTACTACCGTGATTAAAAAGGTGTTCTTGGGAAAAATCCAGAAAGTGTGGGAAACTGTCAGTGAAAAACATCAATGAGTTTCAGATGTCGCATAAAAGTGTAACTGGACCCAAGACAAAGTACTTGCCGTGCTGGGAGCACAAGTTGGCAGATCTTGCAGGAGGCTCGCCAGTCCTCGGCTGGGTAGTGAGTGGGCCCGTGAAGGCCGAGTCTCCCAGCCGTGGGTTCTCAAGGGTGCATTGGTGAGACGCAACAAGATCACATGCGAAGGTATTTCTTCTTGTCCCCCCGGCAGGGAGACAGGCGCCTTGCTTTGGCATCAGAAATGACACTACCTCTTCTGCACTGCCCGGGACCCGTGTCCGCAGGACTGCTCCCCAGAGCCTGGCGCGGTCTCCAAGGGCTGAGGGGGTGTGGGGAGGAAGGTGGAAAGAGCCAGTGCTCCGGCAGGGCTGCCTCCTGGGGCTCGGGGATGAAGCTGCTTCACTACAGCATCCCTCTGGGTCTGGGGAGGGGCAGGGCCTTTGCCCATCGCCCTGGGAGGCGAGAGAGAGGAGGCGTAATGTGCCCCAAAGGCTCCCCTTGGCGTTTCTCTGGCTTCTCCATTTTCTGTTTCAAGTTTGCCAAGGGACTGGAGAGCTAGTACAGTGCGTAGGGCACTTGCTTAGCTACCAAACCGGGTTCAATCCCAGCACCCATTATTGCTACCTGGGCACCGCCAGGAGTGATCCCTGAGCAGAGCCCAGAGTAAGCTCTGCGGACCACTGGGTGTGGATAAAATTATAATAAGATTTACAAAGCATTCTTTTCCATTGAAGACTATATTCAAAATGACACACTGGGGCCGCGGACCTGAATTTAACTGCCAATCAGAAATGGCTCTTGGACCAGGAAAAACGAAGTCATGAAATTGTCTTATAAATGGATAGCATGGAGAATATCATGCTGAGGGAAGCGAGTCAGAGGGACAGAGACAGGCGGAATGATTGGGCTCACTTGTGGGATAGTGAAACAGACCGGCCTACCAAGAACCGTAGAAACAAGAGCCAGGAGGACGGTCCACGGTTGAAGCTTTCCGCAAGTGGGGGCGAGGACGGCAGTTAGGACAGAGAAGGGAGCACCGTGACAATAAGAGTTGGAAATGATCACTCTGGACGAGAACTGAGTGCCGAGAGTAGGGAAAGGGACGACACGATAACCTCTCGGTACCTGTATTGCAAACGGTAATTCCCAAAAGGAAAAAGAG